CAAGAATGGATCATTTAGAGAGGAAAGAGAGAATGGAGAATGGCTTGAGTGAAGAAACAAAAACAAAACCCAAATCATCTTTTTATTTAATGTATTCATCAATTTTCAATCAATATTAGAAACATTTTATTCATAGAAATAAATTTTACATGACACAGGCAATTTTTTTTTTTTTTTTTTTAAAGAAATTGAAATGTAAATTTTCGGATTAAATTTGTTTAAATTCATTGAACAGTTTTACAGCTTTATTTGGGATCACTTAAAATCTTAAATAAGAAATTGGTAAGCTGATACTTTAAAAACTTAAAGATGTATCTTTAGTAAAATTAGAAAAGAAAAAAAAATGAATAGTGAACCTTTCACTTTGCACACACAGACAGACTCTTTCAAGGACACAAGGGAGAGGGGATAATATAGATGATGGGGTGTGTTGTGAATTAAAAAAAAAAAAAATAATGTTGCCGTAACTAAAGAAGCAAGAGTCGATTCTAAGTGGTGTTAGGCTGTGTACACAAACATCACATGATCACACACAAGTCACATGACCAGAAACAAACAATTTTTTTTTTTTAATTTTAATTCCTAAGAATCAGAATCACACAATGCAATTGAAACGCAGAAAATGTTGAGGATTGTTCAGAGTAAGCAAGAGAAAGTTTTTCCAAACAAATAAGAAATTCATTTTTATTCATAAACTAAACTTAAGGGTGGAAAGAGGAAGGGAAAACTAAAAACATTCAGCTAAAAATGAAATAAAGAAAATTATGGTAATATAATGAAGGAAATCAAAAGAAATTGTTAGAAATTAAGTTTAAAAAACAATCAATTCAAATCTACAGGTGAGACAAGGGAGGGGGGGCACATTTTGCCTGCATCAATGAAATAAAAAAATCAGTGAATTCTTCCATCATTGAAAGTTTGAAGCAAAAATGTTTTGAGCAGTTGGCTTAAACAAGTCAAGATTTTGTAAAAAATTTTGCTACAAGACTAACTACCTAATGACAAACTAATTCTATCTAAAAATCTTCAAATTATTTGTATGCTATTTAAATCAGACTGGATACAAATAATCTTTCTTTTTTCTTTTTCATAGAAGTCATCTTAAATAAGGTTTTTAAAAAGACATAAAAATTATTTTTAAAAAAGACTTAAAACGTTTTTTCTGTTTATGTTACAGAAATTGCAGGAAGCATGCACTGAGCAAACAGGAACTCAGTGTTGGAAAATCTCCAGTTCAATACTCTGTTCGAAAAGTACTAAGTTCAAGAGGACTTTCAATGTCAAATAAATTGCCATAAAAATAAAAATTTTTTTTTGATTTGTAAAAGTTTTCTTTTTTGATATAGTTTTCATTCACATGCTTTCTTTAATCTTCAAGTAGTTTATTACAACTATTTTTTCCTAATAAATTCTAAGGAAACAGACAAAATGTGTTGCATTGTCTTTTTTTTTTTTTTTTTTTTTAAATCAGTTCACCCCAAGCAAGGCAATAATGCCACAAAGATGTAAAGGGGGAGTACAAGGTGTGAAACAGAATGAAAAGACATTAGAAGGTACCAGAAACCCAATCCTAAACAGGTAATGAGTAATCATCCTTTACTCCTGTACAAAAACTGGGGAGGAGTGTGAACCAGAAAATAGGTGAACCTATCTACTCCTATTTTGAAAATGATCACAGAACATCCTGATAGGAAAAAGAAAAAAAGTAATTAAAATGAAAACCAAAGACTTGACTCTTTAAAAAGGAACTTCTAACAATGGCTAATTAAAATCTACAATATCTAAAAGGTAAGAGAATTTTCAGTTGGAAGTGTTATATTGGGAAAATATGTGTAGGCAAAAACACACCAAAATACAGAAGCTTAATTGTTTTAGGAACATAAAAAAAAGAAGAGATAAACAATATATATCGTGAAATAGAAAAATCAGTTCTATCTGCTTAATCCATGCAATAAGATTATCAGATGGCAAATCATGCAGCTGGGTTTTAATCAAGGAGGTAACAAATGATTTCATCCCTCCACTTTTTTGTTTATAAGAGTTTATTGGACATAGTGTGAAATTATTGTTCAAGTCATAATACTCACCCTATATAAATTGGGCTTGAAAAACAAGAAGAAATTCACACTCACTTTCTTCCAATTAAAAACATGGAGCTTTTTAAATGTTAACCCCCCTCCATAAAAAAAAAAACTTTTTTTCTTTTGTAGAAGAAAAAAAACAAAAAAAAACAATTTTTTTTTTTTTTTTAAAAAAGGTTATATTTTTCTTCATTCATAAGCATCTTTTTCATTTTCTTTTTGCAGTTAGAATTGTATTTACTTTGGTTTATTCTTTTTCTAGCTTTTGGTGATGTCTATTCTCAAATCTCATGAAAAAAGATGAAATCTTTAAATATATTAAAATCTTTTTTGCGAATATTCCTTACTAAGATGAAAGCAAATAATCTTAAATATGCTAATAGCAAATTTTCACTTTTCATATTAAAGTTGCATTCTTTTTCTATAATATTAAATTTCAACTCGGAGATTTCATGTTAATTCATTTAAAAGAATCAGTTTATAGTTACTAGCCATCACCAGGTAGTAAGGATAAAAACAGGAACTTTCTTTGAACAAGCATTTTGTTTGGATCGAAACCTGTTAATTTTCTTCAATAGAAGTAGACAGGTTTGCTTATTGTCCGGTTCACACTCCTTTGATCTCTTAAACAAGAGTAGTGGTTTATCCTTTGTTTCCCGTTTAGGATTGCATTTCTGATTTCTTCTAAAGTCTACTTCAATTCTATACTTCTAATGTCCCCACCTAAACTCTGAAATTTTATTTACTATTTATTTGGGTTTTTTCTTCTAATATCTTCTCATTCTCTTTTGCCTTTGCTTAGAGTAAATTGATGAAAAAAAAAAAAAAAATCCAACCATGCATCGAGAGTGGGGGTTAGATGGGGTGAAGGGAGTACTCAGACAAAAATTACTGTAAATCTAAAAATTCCAAGATTCTGACATTTCCTCTTCCTCAGCAAATTCCATTCTATCCATCCACTCAAAGAATGACAAGCTCCTTTCTATTGGCACTTACTTTACCAATGTTTAATGACTGAGTGATGTAGTATAGTAATCTCATGCAAAAAGTGGATTAAAAAGACTTTTTTCTAAAAACAATTATGTGTGTGTGTTTTATTGAAGATGACTGACAAGACACTGTGATTAAGATATTTTTTTATTATATTTTTCTTGTATTTATAAAAGTGATTTCTTTTTGGGACATAGTGTTTAAAAATTGCCGGCTAACCTATTAGCCATTATCAAGGATGTTTTTGTTTGTCTGAATATGTATTTTTTTTTTTTTTTTTTAATTACAAGAAATATATCATTTTGAGAAGAAAGATAATTTGGCTAGTTCTTACATGCTATGTTCCAAAAAATAAACACTTGTACAAATGCAAGAAAAATATAATAAAAAGCATAAAAGGGATAAAACAAAACTAAAAAGCTGACATTGACTTAAGGATAAAGAAGTATATTTTTATTGGTAATGTACAATTGATACCATATTGCAAGAGAAAAATGATTCAAATTAGTAGATGAATTTAATATTAGATTAGATAAACTTTTAAAATACTTTAAGAGCTCATACAGAATAAACGATTTTATTTGAAATTCAAGTACCAAACATTGGCTATTAAACTTTGAGTATTTTTCTAGGATATTTGTCACACAATTTTGTTTCTTGTATTTTATGCTTTAAAGACTAATGGGGAAATTTTCATGTTTGCAATATAATAAAAATTGAACAAGGGCATCATCTCCAGCACATAATGGGATATCATCATCATCATCTCATATGTAAGGGCTTTATCCTTTCTTGTGTTAATGAGATTGCTATAAACAAGTTGATTTCCTTAACAAAAATATTTATATTTTTACATCATAAAAGTGATTGCTTTAGAAATGGAAACTGAACATATACTTGCTTATTACAAGTCCAAACACAACCCCAAATTGAATGCTACCATATTTCAAAAAGACTTCCTTTTACATTTCTGATAATATTTTAAATTATTAGACCTGAGAAAACAAACATCAATAAACTCAGTTTAAAAATTATTAGCAGAATTATGTCCCTTTATACTTAACAATATTTTGTCAACTTCAAAGTTTATCCAAAAAGTATTTTATTAAAAGAATATTTTTGTTATAAAAGACTATATTTGTAAAAAAAAAAAAAAAAAAATAATTTAAATCACATTGGAAATGAAGAGTTAAGTCTTTGCATACAAAGCACTTTTTGAAGAAACTTAAATTCCAGAAATATCCAATATTAGAGAATTTGGGAGGTGCAATGAAACAAAAACTGATAGGAATTATAAACTTAATCACAATTAATCTGTTTTGTCTGACAATATCATATAGAGTGGGGTAGAAGATTGAAGATCTTAATGATAAATGCGAAAAAAATTTTGGAGAGTAGAAACAAATTCAAATGTAAAAGTAAGATTTGGTAAATGGAGTTGATAATTAGAATCTGGTTATTTGCATGACTGAATACAAAATGTCTTGGTGTTTTATTAGAAAAAAAGTGGATAAATGCATTGTGGGTTTTTTCTTTCATAAAAGTGTTGTATCCTTGATGAATCAAAATTGATTACTTTATATTTTGGAAATTAGTACTTTGTTTCTAAAATACAAATGGATAATGTTATTTTATATGAGGAGAGACATCTAAAGTAAAAAAGGATAATGTTATTTTTTGTGGGGAGGAGCATCTATAGACTCTAAAGGAAACCTCGACAGAAGAAAAGTGAAAAAATTTAAGATTAAAAATATTTTCATTGGGAAATATTCTGGCTGTTCAGAAGAAAATGGCAATAATCGAGCAACTGTAATTTAAAATAAAAGATATTAAAGAATGAATAATAAAAAATAAAAAAAAACTGCCTCGGTTTTTAGTGAATTTTTTTTTTTTTACCTAACAGTTGATACTTGGCATTCGAAAAATATTTTAGAGTTTTTCTCTTACCTTAGCCGAATCCTTCAGATTTACCATTGCAGGATCCGAGACATTTTTGCCAGATGCATTCTTTGTGGCACTTATGAGATCGGCTAGAGCAGATGCAACGTCTTTCACAGCATTTATCAACAACACCTGTAAAGAGAGTCAATTTTTGACAGAATCAACATATAGTCAATGCTTTTTATTATTACATCAGCAGATTAACTTTTACCTACTGATTTATGTCTTTAATGGTTTCTATGAATTTTCAGAGAGTTATTGTAAAATATTTGATGTAGTTTATTGATGTCTATGTCTACACTATTCTATATTTGATATGAGAACCTAAAATCAACTCTATGGGAATGAAAGTATATACATATATATTTATTTTTAACTTACCTGGGCCTCTGGCTGTTCAGAACCAAGAGATGCAGCACCAAGCTTGACAACATCAGACAACTGGGTAATTGTTTTGACAGCCATTTGGGCAGCATTGGCCAACTGTTCTTGATTAGAAGCAGCGCCAGCTACCAATGTCTTTGTGTCTTCCACAAGAGCCTTGGCGGTCTTCAGAATGCTTTCTCTGTGTGCAGAAAAAAAAAGAAACAGTCTTTAATTTAAAGAAAACAGAAATAAATTGAGCATGGAAATTGACCCTGTGTGTATGTGGGGGGGAGTAAGTTAACTTGAGAACAATATTTTTTTTTTTTTAATTATTTCACTCCAAATAAAACAAAAAAGCCACTAAGACACAAGGGGTTACAGCGTTTTGGAGTTTTTAGTTTTTTAATGTTGCAGGAAGTCTCATTCACTAAGTGAAAATAAATGAATTTGATAATTAAGGCATTTAATAAATAACTTTTTATAATGAAGCAAGTCATTTCTTGTATTTAAAATAACTGACTTATTCAATGAGATGATGTCAACCATCATTTTAGAAAATTTAAATACAACATCAATTGCCATTTTCTTTCTTCTTGAATCCCCTTCCTCTTTTGTCCTTTCTTTAACCCTCCCTATTCTCAGTCTTCTCTTTCACTCCCTGTAAGCCTCAGTGTACTTGTGGCATTCCTGCATTGCTTGGGGTGAAATGAGATATAAAAAAAAAAAAAAAGAAATGAGAGCGTGTTGATTGCAGAGTATATAGAAAGAATAATAAGTGAAAGAATTGTTTTTAAATATAATGTAGAATCAAATAATTTATTGCCATACTCAACTGCATCTATCAAAGAATTGTTCATGAAAATGTTTATTTATAGATGTTATAGCTTATCTGGCACTTTGTCAAGATTGAATAAGAAGCTAAAACATATTGTGTTAATTGTTAAACAGCAATTTATAAAAAGAATACAAAAAAAAAAAAAATTTGTGTGTTTACTTATGGTCAGCGAAATTTTCCTCCCCTTCGGCATTCAGTGTACCAGCGGTAGCAAACATTATTGTCGTATCGAGATCTCCAATGATTCCACTCACTGTGCTGGCAGCATTAATACAAGCTTGAGTACCACGAGATCCGGATTGCAAAGAAGCCAAAACATGAGACACCTGAAAGGTAATATCAAGACAAGATACCACATTATATAACATGCCTCTTGTATTTGTAGATTATTTTTGTCTGTAATAAAGCAAACATGTATAAAATAACGAGTGAATCCTGTCTTGATTTGAATACCTGACCTGGAGATAACCAGACAAGTGACAGAGCCACTAGGCCAGTGTTCTGCTGTCTGAACAGCACAATGAAATTAACTTGCAAATAAGAATTTAGAAAGAGCAAACAGATACTACAAGGATCCTATTTGGTGGGCTAAAAAGCAGGACTGATTTTCATGAGAGCACACAGATACCAGATGACCTTAGGGAGAGGTTCAGGATGCAATCATAGTGTATTTGGGTAGCAATCCATCCTTTATATAAGTTTTGTTAAAGGCGACTGACAAGGTACTGTGATTAAGCTTTTTATTTAATTTTCTTGTGTTTGTATAAGTGCTTTCTTTTCTGGACACAAAGTTCAACAGTTCTGCATATCTAAGTATTTTTGGCTATTCTTTTAGCCATTATCAAGGACAATTTCTATTTTTTAATTTTTAACTGAAATTGTGTTTTTTTTAATGTTATTAATAATTCCATTATTTCCAATCTTTTTTTTTTAACATGTGAATGAGGCTGTTATACTTGTATTTTCTACTAGTATGTTTTGAATGGATTTTGATAGTTTTTTGTATGTGTTTAAGTGAGTCCTAATTGAGCTATGGTCAAGTAGGTGTAATGTGAGTTGTTGAAATTGGCATTTGGTAGTACAACTAATATAATTATTTATGAGTTTGGTTTGATCAGGAACACAGTTCCTTAAGGGACATTTGAACTCGTAAATAATATTGGTTCTTTGTAGTTTTGATTTTGTGGGTGTGTTGTTATTTTTGATAAAGTTAGCTGTTTTGAAATTTTTGTAATAGATAATTTAATTTTCTTGTTCTGGTCGACTGGGGTTGTGTATTTCTTTAGA